TCTCCGTTTCCAAGCCGAAGAGCCAGCGCTGTCCAAAGACGTTTTCGTGGTCATGTGGCCAGCATGACTAAATGCTGAGGTGCACGGAACGCTGTTGCCTTCCCACCGAAGTGGTACCTATTTATCTACTTGCAATTTCTTGCTTTCGAAATGCTTGGTTGGCAGGAGCTGGGGCCAGAGATGGGAGCTCGCTCCATCACGCGGTACTAGGGTCGAACTGCTGAACTACTGATCTCCCAGTCTGCAGCTCAGCTCAGCGTCTTAACCTCTAAGCCACCGCGGCCCCTAGTAAGATTAGGGGCACTTAAAATCTAGAAGAAAGCTCCTGACTCCAGTGGTGAACTGGAAAATGTGGATTTTTTAAAAAAAAATTGGGAGAGTAAAAGTAATGGAAGAGAAAGTGTTTCCCTATTTTATTTAGACAATTCTTATCCTACATTAATTGTACAAGGTACTACTCATCTTGGTCTGATACCCTGGACTCTCATCAGGTACATTCAACACCCAGGTAGAAGGAGTCGTCTGTGGGTTGTTTTGTCATAACATACAGTGTGTCCCCTCCACTATATTTTCCTCAGGAAACAACAGCGATACATTAAGTTATCTTGAACAATGGAAAGTCCAATTATTTTTATTACTGAAAAAAACCCCACTTCACTTTCTGTAGAAGCATGAGAATATATAGGGTCAGATCCAGAGACCACACTGGCAATTTCTATTGCTTCCCCCTTCCTGCTATCCCTCACTTTCCCCTATCCCCCAGGAGCAGCATTTCATGGAGGTTAGCAGGATGCAGCGGCAAGTGAGAGGCAGGAAAGTTTTATCAAGTACATTGATGGAAAATGTAGTCCTAGAAATGCCACTGGTGCCACTGCAACACACGTGTAAGTGTTGGTGTTCCAGGAACTTGTTAGACAATGCCCGTAAGACACTCCCCCCTCCTCTTTGTGCTTGGGGTAGGTTTTGGATTTTTAGCATCCTCAAAAAGTTTTACATAATTAATATGTAATATGTACCCATTTAAAAATGAAGGAAAACAGTGAAAAGGCTGCCTATCCATCTCAGCAATGACACACCATTTTCTTTCAATCTGATTTAGTCAGTTTTAACAATCCATTAGCTTGTAAAGTGAACACATGAATCACTGACATTGGCAGTTCTACAATGCCAACTTTCAGGGAAGCCTCAAAGAATTCCTGGAACATGCCAAGCCTCTTATCTTGAAATGTGTGTGCATGTGTGTGTTTGAAAAGCACCAAGAGGTAAGAACAGAAAGTGGTTCTCTCTTCAGCATTTATTATTCAAACAAAGAACATTAGGAGAATTAATCAGAGGAGACAGGTCAAAACCTAACCAGTTTAAAGCAGCACAGTGGACTGTTTATTAAGAGACAGGGAACCTGGAGGACATAGTCATGTTTGGGTTATTTAATACAGACACAGCCTAGCATATACATAAAAAGAATAATAAGTAACCAGGCATTCATAAAATTAATAAAGTTTCTATTCTCTCCTTGGGCTGATCTTTTGCTTTCTGTTGTTTGAAAATGAACTTTTCCGCTTTTCCCTATCTGTAAGAAAACTGATAAGAGAATATGCAAAGCGCAAAGCATCCAACCACCATTTTGGAGAATTTAGTTTCTTATTTTTATAAAACATGCAATTTTCTATGTCCCAGAAAGGTCCATTTTATGTAAAATGGGGGAGGGGGGAAATGTGTTGCTTGACTGGATACTGACAAATAGCTAGAGACACTGGGGACAACACCACAAAACTTCTAGTGGTTTTATAACAGTTTTATAGAGTCCCCAAAATGTTCTAGAAAGTTTAGTGATAGTGCAGAGAATTCTCAGTGAGAGATTCTTTCCTGTCAGAGAACTACAGTTCCCAGAGTTTCTCAGAAAATGGAATAACTATGAAACCAGTTTAAGTCTGTAGTGTAAACATGCCGTAAGAGGTTCTTTCGGAGCTGAATTATAGATAAGAACATAAGAGATGCCAATGTTGGATCAGGCCAAAGGCCCATCCAGTCCAACACTCTGTATCACACAGTGGCCAGAAATATCAGGTGCCATCAGGAGGTCCACCAGTGGGGCCAGGACATTAGAAGCCATCCCACTGTTGACCCCCCCAAGCACCAAGATGACAGAGAATCACTTGCCCCAGAGTCCCTATCTATACCTTGTGGCTAATAGCCACTGATGGACCTCTGCTCCATATGCTTATCTAATTCCCGTTTGAAGCCGTCCATGCTTGTAGCCTCCACCACTTCCTGTGGCAGTGAATTCCAAGGGTTAATCACTCTTTGGGTGAAGAAATAACACTGCAGCCACAAAGCTCCTACTGCCTCTTGTCCCAGAGGGAAAGGGAGTAACTAACCCTTTCCCTGACAATCGTCATTCCACTGAAACTCAGGTCCAAGCTAGATGTTAGGTTTTTTAAGGAGCTGGGTCCAGGTTCCCTGCAGCCCCACAGCTACTGCAGGGGAATGGCTTTTAAAAAATAAAGGAGAGTTCAAACAGGCTAGGAAGGCCACTGTGGAGGGAGAAAAGGCTTCCCCCCTCCTCACTGGGATTGCCAGGTCCCCCCTGGCCACCAGCAGACGATGGGGGGTTAGGGTGGGAAACTCTTGGGAGATCCAGGTTGGGAAACTCTTGGAAATCTGGGGATGGAGCCTGGGGAGGACAGTGGGGTATGATGCCATAGAGTCCATCATCCAAAGCATGCATTTCCCCCAGGGGAACTGGAGATGAGCTGTAATTCTAGGGGATCCCCAGGTCCCACCTCGAGGCTGGCGTGGCATCCCTCCTCCCTAGCTGTTTCCCCATGCTTAAACAGTGTTGAGGGGCATTATTTCCCCAATTTTGCTGCACAGAATACACCATAAAGGTAAAGGTTCCCTTGCTCGAAAGCCAGTCGAGTCCGACTCTAGGGTTGCGGTGCTCATCTCCGTTTCCAAGCTGAAGAGCCAGCGCTGTCCAAAGACGTTTCAGTGGTCATGTGGCCAGCATGAGTAAACATCAAGGCGCACGGAACGCTGTTACCTTCCCACTGTAGTGGTACCTATTTATCTACTTGCAATTTCTTGCTTTCGAATTGCTAGGTTGGCCGGAGCTGGAACTAGAGACGGGAGCTCACTCCGTCATGCGGCACACTCGGGTCTCGAACTGCCAAACTACCGACCTTCCACAGCCTGCAGTTCAGCGTCTTAACCACTTGAGCCACCGCAGCTCCAGAATACACCATGTGGAGCAGCAAAAATGGAGGAATAACTCCCCCCAGCAGTGTCTCAGCATAGAGAAATGGTGGGGCGGGATGGGGGGGGCAGGTGACCTTTCTCCCCTGCAGTGGCATTCCAAGCCCATTTGGGCTCTCCTTTATTTTTTAAACCCATCCCCCTGCAGCTGCTGTGTGGCTGCAGGGAACCCAGACCCAACTCTTTAAAAGCCCAAACATCTGATTTGGCACTCACTTCCACCATTCTAATTTTATACGTGCAGGCTCCCATATTTGTAAGACAAACATGGGTTTGAAATAGGGGGACAAAATAATATAAGGCCCTTCAGCGGATCTGGAGTTCCTTTTAAAAGAAATCAGAAATGCTGTCTTTAACAAAGTTATACCTTTCTAGGTCCACTGAAGTCAGTGGGATTAGAAGTATGTAACTCTGTTTAGGATTGCACAACTGTTATGAGGATTACACTGGGTAATCCCCTTTAATGACCTTGATCTCCTTGGAGAAAAGGGCAAGATATAAGTGCAATAAAGAAGCAGTACTAATCAGAGAAACGAAATTACTTCATTAGATGTATGAGAGACACTCCAGGGCCATAGCTCCACTCCATCGTTATATTGTTTTCGGAATGTATGCAGCATTTTTGAGGATAATTACAGTTCTCTTAATTATATGCATCTAAATCCCCAGTGTTTCTTTGAGAACATGCTAACAAATATACAAGGCTAGTTATGAATTAAATCATATCCCTGCCCTGCCCGCATTAGTGAGATCCACCACATAATGAAGCAGAAACCAGGAGGGTAAACTGATTAGTAATCTGGGATACCACCAGTAGGCAAGTGCTCAAGTGATCCAGTTTGGTCCTGATGACAATTCTGGCCAGTCTGGAAGGATTTTCTGAGTTTATTTCTCAGATATTTCACCTCTAGAAATCAGGAGCTGGGTCTATTTTTTAAAGCTGGTTCCTCAAATGGCGTGGCCCCGCCCCCAGCGTGCGACGTCACTTCCGGGTGGTGTGCACGCGGGGGTGGGGTTTCCCCTGGGCCCCGATTCCGTGGGAGCGGGAATCGGGGCTTGAAAGCGGGGGGAAATCCGCCCCCCGGGGGCATTTGGCAGCCCTATAAAGAACATGTTGCTGAGGGTACACTACGTGCATCAATAAGAAAGGGTCACACTAACAAGAAAGGTGGATTTCGCATAAGGAAGTGGCTGCTGTTTAGCATAAGAATAGCATCCTGCTTGATCAGATTAAAAGGCCCGGCTCATCCAGCATCCTGTTTCTCAAGTGTCCAGCCAGGAGCCTCTATGAAGCCCACAAACATAGAATGAAGGTGTTGTTTGCCCACCAGCAACTGGAATTCAGTACATGCTGCACATGAAGACATAGCCTCTGTCTAGCCATCATGGCTGTTGGTAGATGTATCCTCCATGAATATGTCTAATCCCTTTTAAAACCATCCAAACTACATGGAATTGGAAACTATGGGCACAGTATCTGTTTCTCAGCCTACAGTCAGGACTGTGTTTATGGTTTCTCCACACTTCTGCAGATACACACAGGCTTGAATACAAAGCACTTATTTGTTCCAGATAATCTTTTTTATCTCTTTTTTTTAAACTCTCACTGGTAGACATTTCCTAAACTTGAGGCACAAGGCAGGGAAACACTGGTCATAACGCCCTCAAAATCTTTCTGTCTTCTCTTTAATTAATCTCTAGAGGTTTGTACAATAACAATAGCCCAACTCTTCATTTGGTCCTTCATTATAACTTCGGTCTCACAGCTCTACAACAGTCCTTTAGAACTATCCTCCCTTTGTGTACCATCACTAGATGGTTTTGTATCCCCATCCCGCTGTGCTTCTGTCATACACCATTTGCATAGCCAGAAAGGCTAGCAAGGCTATGACATCATTCTGTGTGAAAGTTCTATGTCGACATAGTAGAGGGGTGCAAATAACATTCAGGAATGATGGCAGGGTGCGATCCGAAGTGCTCTCCCATTCCTACAGCTACTGAGGAAATGAAGATAAAAGCATTCCACGAGAATATAGAGGAGGAAAGAGGCATGGAAGCAGTTGGGGATGGAGAATAACAACCCAGGAAGGGAGGCTGCCTTTGAAGGATAACATTTGATCCATCAGCATGCTGGTTGCTTTGTAGAAATGCCAGAGGAGATCAGTTGTTGTTCATGATCCACCAGGAAGCTGAGAAAACAAATGAGACATTCTCAAAGTTCACATAGACAGAAGGGGAGACAGGTTGGTCTAAGGAACCCCCTTGGGCAGAAATGCCAAACTATGTGCAATGGGCCAACATTGACAGAGAGAGTACTCCATCTTTCTGTGTTACACCTCTGAGGATGCCAGTCACAGCTGCTGGCAAAATGTCAGGTACTACAATGCCAAGACCACGGCCACACATCCCGGAAAATCTACAGCAACTAATAAATTCCGGCCGTGAAAGCCTTCGACAACATATATGTGCAATGGTTCCATGTTTTCCTTATGCGACTCAAGCAGAATTTGAAGAATCTAAATTTAGGAAATCAGCTGGCAGAAGTATTTATCTTTATTCATATTTGTGACCTCAGATATGCCAACCTCTGATTTCAACAATTTGATCCAAGAGTGCTCTTTGGACTGACTACAAGGCAAAGGAACGCAGCACTGTAGCCTATGCAAATCTCATCTCTCCCGGGTGACAATAAGAGCAATGGATATAGTGGGCCCCTCTCGTCTGTCCTGCGGCTGCCTTAACTATATGGAGTTATTTCCAAACATTATTTAATTTAGTGGTTTCTGATTCCTTTCTTATTAAACTGAGGTTGCAGCCTGATGCACACTCACTTTGTAGGAGAAAATCCCACTAAATGGCATGGCACTTGAAAACAAGCATAAAATCAGGCTGCATGGAAGTTACTTCTGAAATTTGCAACAAAATTTAGATACACACTATGATCAGTGCCTGACAAAATGTTTTGCAGCTTTCAGAAGGAATAATATGAATGCCTATTGTCCACTAGGTGGAAACAAAAGCACAGGTTTGTACTGAAACATACCCACCTGGAAACAACATGGTGGTCAAGAGTTCTGGAGAATCCAATAAGTCAATGAGGATTCGCTGGAACTTCTTGCTGCAATTAGATTGCAGATGGCTGTAAAACAATTATAAAAGTTATAGCAATATATATAATATTTATGCCTCAGCCTGTCTGTACTTCTAAGAGCAATAAGAGGGCAGGTCCTGTTCAATATACTTTAATAGTATTTGTACAGTTCCTCACCATGTAAGAATGCCACAGACCGTCTTTCACCTTAGAGGGAATTTGATCCCAGTTTCACCTCTGTAACAAACTGACTACCTTCTACCATTCTTCACCTATTTTACTGTGGTGCAGCAAACCTTTCTCACACACTGGAAGAAGGGCTGCTCTGCTTCTATATATGTCTCCCTGCACTGTGGGATCTTCTGCATTCTCATTTTTGTCACTTATGTGTCCCTATTGGTTCAGGGTTTTTTGTCTTTTCCACTGCTGGACCTCCTGATGGCACCTGGTATTTTTGGCCACTGCGTGACAGATTGTTGGACTAGATGGGCCATTGGCCTGATCCAACATTGGCTTCTCTTATGTTCTTATATTCCACCCTCTACTGGTTGATTCAATATTACATCTCTTCATGTCGGGCATATCTCCCTGCATATTTAAATCGCAGGGTTTTTTGCTGGACAAAGAGTAATGTAATATCGAATGGACCACCAGAGAAAGCAAAACACATGTGAAACAGAAACTCCCTCCCCCCGAAGCAACAGAAATACACAAGTGAAGAAAATAAAAATGCAAAGGTGACCTGATTTAGGATGTGCTGACATGAGGCATAAAACTGAGAACTAAGAAGCACTCTCATAAGGTGTTGCCCTATTATTTTAACCCTCTTGTCACACTATACCTATCAAAAGCAATAATAAATCCTTTCTTTGTCCCAACTTTGTTAATTCCTCATTGCCACAATGCCAGACATACTTTATGGACATTTCTTAGGGACTTCTCTCTGACTAGCTTGCTGGACTGAAGGAGAATAGAAAAGTGTCCCATCACTCCCTCCAATCAACTTCCTGTAAGTTAGCCTTCCATTCTTTAGGACTCATATATCTGAAGAATGGCAAAATCAGATGGAGAGAACAAATAATCATGGAATGCGGGTCTTCCGTTCTAACTGATGTGTGCTAGGTACAGGACAGACAAAAGAAACTACTCCCTGCACAGGACAATAAGCAAATTCATATATGAAATTCACTGCCACAAAACTGAGCTATATAGGGGCAGCGGACAAATTCATGGAAGATGATTCTTTTGACCAGCAATTATTATTAGCATGAATAATCAAATGAACTTCCATGTTCAGAGACAGTGTGCTACAGAGTACCAGTTGCTGGGCAGCAACACTGGAGGGAGGGATATCGTCTTCTTGTTTGTGGGCTTCTCTGGGGCATCAGGTTGTTCACTGTGAGAAAAAGGATGCTGGACTAGATGGACTTTATTGGCATCCAGCAGGCCTCTTAGTTGATAATGAACTGCTCACTACAAGCATGGAAATGAGCTGAATGATGGCATTTCTAAACTTGGCTGCACTTGAATGACTGGGACCTGGCTACATGGTAATGTTCAAATGAAGAAAAGAAAAGCTCAGTCTGCAATATACACCCAATCCACACCTGATCACTTAAGAAGTGTCTTCATGAATTGGCCATATACATTTAAACTCAGACTCTATGCAAACACAGCACAAATGGTAAGAAAGTACCAACCTTCTCCATGAAGGCACATCTTGCCAGAACTCATAGAGGATGAAGCATGCCTCGCTTGTCAGTTTGTGGGCAGACACACTGCAGGGAAAGAAGACCAGCCAGGAGGAAAAATGTTATCACTACACACCAGGCTGTGCATAGTATACAAAAATGAGACTCCAGTGTCTACAGCCAGCCTGGCTCCTGTACCATAATTACTTATCTGCAGTGACTCATGGATAGGCTTTTGTTGTTGTTTTCGTGGAAATGATAATAGCCTTCACACAGATGTTAAAGAACTGCCAGTGCTTTTAAAGGAACATGCAGATTTCTTATGTTATCTCACAGCCTGTGCACCCAGAATAGCAGACACCAAAGCTTTTATCTGATTTGCTGAACCTCCACATTTCCTTAATTCAAATGAAATGACTGAACATGATGAGATTCTTCATTCACATGAATTGATACCAGACCTCGCATGCCAGTAAGGAGGTCTCATTCCCTCCAGCATTTCAGGGTACATGTAAACGTTAAGTTTCATAAATACATCTAACAAATAAAATTGATAAAACTGAAATGGATCTATCACTGAAAATGGCAGCCCTGTGCCAGGTTTTTCATGATGCTTCCAAATGGGAGCTTCCACTGAAAATGGCAGCCCTGTGTCAAGTTTTCCAGATTCATCCCTTATTGTTTAAACATACTTATCTGGATTGTTTCCCTGACCCCCACCAGTGGCAACTAATGATTTGGAGTGGAGTGGGGAGATATGTGTTGTGATGATGGTCATGGTACAGGAAAAAGAGTTTCAGTGGGGAGGAGGGGTCACTCCCCACTGGGCTGCAATCCTTTATGTCAGTTGCATGATGAGCCTAACACCTAATTCTGCAACCTGGACTGCAGCAGCAGAGGTTTTCACTCAGACTGTTCTGCTTCATTGCTGTGCTACCTGGGAATTAAACCTGTGTTGACGTGTGCATAGAATGTAATTTTCTAGGGACACTTTCATAGAGGACCCATTGCAGGTCGCTTTTCCACAGAGTGGGCTTACAATGAAGTGTTGCTGGATGAGTGAGATATGTTAAATCATAATACACTTATTGGAAAAAATTCTTCTTGACCCTAAATTAAGGACCTGTTCTCACAATTTTCATTTTTTGGTAGATGCAAAGTGTGCTGACCTCAAATTATTAGGGCAGTTGTGTGAATACCTATGCAGTACGGATCGGTTTGGTTACACTACCATGTCTTGCCAAAAAAATAATAGTATATTTGCAGTGCCAAAATGCAAACCTGGTTCACTGTTCATTCATGGGTTCAATCCAAGATAGTACTGTTCATTCATGGGTTCAATCCAAGATACTAATTCACCTACAAAGCCCTTCATGGCTGTGGATTTCGGTATCTGCAACACTGTCTCTTCCAGTATATACTGGTGCTCATTTGAGCAAAGTCTTCTGAAGCTGCCACTTTGTAAGTGCGTAAGATCAACAGCTGCCCGTATGTGTGCATTCTCTGTTTTGCCCCCCCCTTTATGGAATGGTTTGCCTGAGGAATTCAGGAAGGCTCCCACAGTTCTCTCCTTTCACAGAATATGCGAGACAGAATTGTTCAGGAGGGCATTTTTATAAAGGGAATGGATTACAGCTGAAGAAGAAGAGGAGGTTTTTATATCCTACTTTTCTCTATCTTAAGGAGTCTCAAAGAGGCTTACAATCACCTTCTGCTCCCACTCCCCACAACAGGTGCCTTGTGAGGTAGGTGGGGCTGACAGTGTTCTAAGAGAACTGTGACTGGCCCAAGGTCACCCAGCAGGCTTCCTGTGGGGAAGTGAGGAATCAAACTTGGCTCTCCAAATCAGAGTCTTCCGCTCTTAACCACTACACCATGCAGGCTCTAATAGTAGTTATTGTCTGGGAATTCCTAGTCTTCATTGTACTGATAATTGTACAGATAATACTGCTTTTTTGCAGTTTTGTATTCTTGGTTTATTATATTATTATACAGCTCCTAATGTATTCCCTAATTTTGTAATCCAGTTTTTAAAATGTGGGATTGCTTGTTGTGTGTATTGTACTGTTTCTATTGCACTGTTTCTAATTGTGTAATGTTTCTTGAGTCTCAATGAGAAAGGTGGGCTACAGATGATGCAAATAAATAAACAGGATTCCTTGAACGAATGCTGTCATTAAATGTTTGATAATGTGTGGAAACATTGCTGGAATCACCAGATGACTGGAAAATGTGGCTGCCAAATGTTCAGAGGATTTTGAGAGTTAGACCCTCAGCCCAACTAAATTCTGTATTGGTGGCGACTATTAGCAGAAGACAGCATTGCAAACTTTTTCAGAGTTACCTATTTCTTCATTAGAGAACAGAAGAATTGACTAACTTTTTAGAAACAACAAATATAATTATGGAACCAGGAGGAGGGGGATGGGAGTCCGAACTCTGCAGCTTTTCAGCACGCATTATAAATAGCAAATTCACTCTCTGTGCCTGTTTGTTTTGCCATCTGTGTAGGAAGAGGAGCAGCCATATTTCTCTGTAATGAGTCTGTCTCTTGTACCCCAGTGCTTACTTGCTTTATGGGGCTGTTAGGTGGACAGATTAGTCGGTGGATGTTTATCAGGTCTGGAGTACAAAGCAGCACTGTATACACTCCATGTGTTATAAATAGCACCTTCCTGGCTATTGAGAGAGTGAATGAAGGTTTGTATGCTGAAGATGAAGAGTTCAACAAAAGGCACAATGGCCATTCTTAAACACATTTCTCATCCAAGCAACCTATAAAAGTCAAGTTTTGGAAGACTTACTGTAGGCAGCTGCTCTGTCTGGCTGTGATTTCTGTGTAGGACTGGAGAGCTTGGCGAAATGCCTCTAATCCATTTTCCGTCACTGAGATCTCCCTCTGTGCCACCAGGATGTGCTGCAGGGAGGGAGAAGAGATGGAGGGTGAGTCTCCCCATTCTGACAGGCAACATTCAAGGTTGCCTGATGTTTCTTGCACTGAAAGTGGCCCTTTGCATTTAAGGATTCCTCCGTGTTTCAAAATGCACCCAAACATGCCTTGCAACATCCATAGCTTAACTGGGCAAACTTTATGCAAGGCACAAGCAAACACACTAACATGGAGAATGATGGCTGAAAAGAAGAATTTACTGATACTGCCAGGGGCAAGAGGCAGAATTCCAGCTGGTGCCACTGGGTTTTCTTTGTCAACTGTGGCAAAAGGAGAAGCATCACGGGAAAGCAAGGAAAGGTGCCAGCTGGCATGGAGTAATAATGTTTGCCAGAAAGCCAAACACATGGGCACGATATCACATTACAACCAATATATTTATATAGTCCCAGCTATGTACAACATGATTGACAGACTAATGTGTGCAAACAACAGGGTTTCCTGTCCCCAAAAGCTTACATGTTCCATATAGAGAGTTGGGCATGGGCATTGGGAGTGGGAGTGGGAATGGGAAGAAGGGGAAAGGCAAGCTGAAAGAACTTTACTTCTTCTCTGATATACCAATGAATAAACTCTGTAATGTTCAGAATTATTCAGAGAACATGATGCATTTGTTCATTCCATCAGCATAGCTATAGCAGGGGTGGGCAAAGTGTACGGGCCCCGCTCCCTACCTATGTATGCATTGTCATCAGCTTTTTAAAATGTGGGATTGCTTGTTGTGTGTATTGTACTGTTTCTATTGCACTGTTTCTAATTGTGTAATGTTTCTTGAGTCTCAATGTGAAAGGTGGGCTACAGATGATGCAAATAAATAAACAGGATTCCTTGAACGAATGCTGTCATTAAATGTTTGATAATGTGTGGAAACATTGCTGGAATCACCAGATGACTGGAAAATGTGGCTGCCAAATGTTCAGAGGATTTTGAGAGTTAGACCCTCAGCCCAACTAAATTCTGTATTGGTGGCGACTATTAGCAGAAGACAGCATTGCAAACTTTTTCAGAGTTACCTATTTCTTCATTAGAGAACAGAAGAATTGACTAACTTTTTAGAAACAACAAATATAATTATGGAACCAGGAGGAGGGGGATGGGAGTCCGAACTCTGCAGCTTTTCAGCACGCATTATAAATAGCAAATTCACTCTCTGTGCCTGTTTGTTTTGCCATCTGTGTAGGAAGAGGAGCAGCCATATTTCTCTGTAATGAGTCTGTCTCTTGTACCCCAGTGCTTACTTGCTTTATGGGGCTGTTAGGTGGACAGATTAGTCGGTGGATGTTTATCAGGTCTGGAGTACAAAGCAGCACTGTATACACTCCATGTGTTATAAATAGCACCTTCCTGGCTATTGAGAGAGTGAATGAAGGTTTGTATGCTGAAGATGAAGAGTTCAACAAAAGCCACAATGGCCATTCTTAAACACATTTCTCATCCAAGCAACCTATAAAAGTCAAGTTTTGGAAGACTTACTGTAGGCAGCTGCTCTGTCTGACTGTGATTTCTGTGTAGGACTGCAGAGCTTGGCGAAATGCCTCTAATCCATTTTCCGTCACTGAGATCTCCCGCTGTGCCACCAGGACGTGCTGCAGGGAGGGAGAAGAGATGGAGGGTGAGTCTCCCCATTCTGACAGGGAACATTCAAGGTTGCCTGATGTTCCTTGCACTGAAAGTGGCCCTTTACATTTAAGGATTTCAAAATGCACCCAAACATGCCCTGCAACATCCATAGCTTAACTGGGCAAACTTTATGCAAGGCACAAGCAAACACACTAACATGGAGAGTTTATTATATTATTATACAGCTCCTAATGTATTCCCTAATTTTGTAATCCAGTTTTTAAAATGTGGGATTGCTTGTTGTGTGTATTGTACTGTTTCTATTGCACTGTTTCTAATTGTGTAATGTTTCTTGAGTCTCAATGTGAAAGGTGGGCTACAGATGATGCAAATAAATAAACAGGATTCCTTGAACGAATGCTGTCATTAAATGTTTGATAATGTGTGGAAACATTGCTGGAATCACCAGATGACTGGAAAATGTGGCTGCCAAATGTTCAGAGGATTTTGAGAGTTAGACCCTCAGCCCAACTAAATTCTGTATTGGTGGCGACTATTAGCAGAAGACAGCATTGCAAACTTTTTCAGAGTTACCTATTTCTTCATTAGAGAACAGAAGAATTGACTAACTTTTTAGAAACAACAAATATAATTATGGAACCAGGAGGAGGGGGATGGGAGTCCGAACTCTGCAGCTTTTCAGCACGCATTATAAATAGCAAATTCACTCTCTGTGCCTGTTTGTTTTGCCATCTGTGTAGGAAGAGGAGCAGCCATATTTCTCTGTAATGAGTCTGTCTCTTGTACCCCAGTGCTTACTTGCTTTATGGGGCTGTTAGGTGGACAGATTAGTCGGTGGATGTTTATCAGGTCTGGAGTACAAAGCAGCACTGTATACACTCCATGTGTTATAAATAGCACCTTCCTGGCTATTGAGAGAGTGAATGAAGGTTTGTATGCTGAAGATGAAGAGTTCAACAAAAGGCACAATGGCCATTCTTAAACACATTTCTCATCCAAGCAACCTATAAAAGTCAAGTTTTGGAAGACTTACTGTAGGCAGCTGCTCTGTCTGGCTGTGATTTCTGTGTAGGACTGGAGAGCTTGGCGAAATGCCTCTAATCCATTTTCCGTCACTGAGATCTCCCTCTGTGCCACCAGGATGTGCTGCAGGGAGGGAGAAGAGATGGAGGGTGAGTCTCCCCATTCTGACAGGCAACATTCAAGGTTGCCTGATGTTTCTTGCACTGAAAGTGGCCCTTTGCATTTAAGGATTCCTCCGTGTTTCAAAATGCACCCAAACATGCCTTGCAACATCCATAGCTTAACTGGGCAAACTTTATGCAAGGCACAAGCAAACACACTAACATGGAGAGTGATGGCTGAAAAGAAGAATTTACTGATACTGCCAGGGGCAAGAGGCAGAATTCCAGCTGGTGCCACTGGGTTTCCTTTGTCAACTGTGGCAAAAGGAGAAGCATCAAGGGAAAGCAAGGAAAGGTGCCAGCTGGCATGGAGTAATAATGTTTGCCAGAAAGCCAAACACATGGGCACGATATCACATTACAACCAATATATTTATATAGTCCCAGCTATGTACAACATGGTTGACAGACTAATGTGTGCAAACGACAGGGTTTCCTGTCCCCAAAAGCTTACATGTTCCATATAGAGAGTTGGGCATGGGCATTGGGAGTGGGAGTGGGAATGGGAAGAAGGGGAAAGGCAAGCTGAAAGAACTTTACTTCTTCTCTGATATACCAATGAATAAACTCTGTAATGTTCAGAATTATTCAGAGAACATGATGCATTTGTTCATTCCATCAGCATATCTATAGCAGGGGTGGGCAAGTTGTATGGGCCCCGCTCCCTACCGCTCCAGCGCGAGCCCCAGGGAGCCAGCGACGGGCCTCTTTCAGCACGTGGGCTCCCCAGCCTCTGGTGGGGGGGAGCTTGGCGGATGCAAGAGGTTTCTCCTCTGTTGCAGGGGGCGGGGCTTGGTCATGTGACCACCCCGCCCCCTGGGCTGGTCACTCCCGGAGAGCTCCGGCCCCATGAGACCCCTGCAAGGGGGAAGCAGTTTTGCTGGTGGGGAAGATAAATCATCTCTCAAATTCCATTGCAAGTGCTGAGGGGCCGGCTTTTGTCCTAAGTCCCAGAGAAAAAGGATCATCATATTGGACTGCAGAATCAGGGAGGCAGGCCATGCCTCTTTCTCCTCCTCAGTCTGCTGAGGACTTCTTCACTCTCGTAATCCAACACATCTTTGCCTATAATCTTTGCTTCTCTGGCCCCATCACATCCAGCCACTGAACAGTCTCCTGCTCCAAATGATTGCTTTCTTCTTTGCTGTCCCATTATGCCTGTCTCCTAGAACACTTATATGATGCCACTTCCAATTCTTTCATAAGACCCAACAATTTCCAGGAAGCGTTCGGCACCACCCCTTAACCCCATCCCCTACCTA